GGCGAGCCGACCGGATTGGCTTGGGCTGTGCAGGATCGAGCGCAGCGGAAGTGTGGCGAGCACAACAATCGAATGCGACTGAAAGTATGGGCGCAGCTTGCGAGCCGAGACTACGACGGCTAGGGCGACCTTCTCGATCTGTGGGTAGCGGGTCTCAGCGTCGGTCAGTGTCTGGCTGATGTAGAAAATGGGTTTTTGCTCGGATCGTTCTTCTCTTATTAACACCCCACTTACAGCTGTAGCAGACACCGCGATGTAGAGGAAGAGCGGCTCTCCTTCGACCGGTTTTGCTAAGATTGGTGGGCTTGCCAGATAAGTCTTCAATTCCTAGAAAGCCGTCTCGCATCGTTCGTCCCATTCAAATTTCTTGTTTCCTCTGAGGGTGTCGTAGAAGGGCAGGCATTTGTCCGTGGAACGGGAGATAAACCTGTTTAGCGCGGCGACTCTTCCTGTTAGCCTTTGCACTTCGCGCTTCGTCCTTGGAGAGGGCATTTCAATTAACGCCTTAATCTGCTTGGGGTTCGCTTCTATGCCTCGGTGGGTTACCAGATAGCCGAGGAATTCTCCCGAGGTGACCGCGAACCTGCACTTTGCCGGATTTAGCTTCATGTTGTACTTGTTCAGCTGTTCGAAACATTCTTGTAGGTGCGCGACGTGGTCTTCCTCCTCGAGTGACTTGACTAACATGTCGTCAATGTATACCTCCATAGTTTTTCCGAGCTGAGCCGCAAACATTTTGTTGACGAGCCGTTGATACGTTGTTCCTGCGTTCTTGAGCCCGAACGGCATGACTTTGTAGCAATATATCCTGCGGTCGGTTATGAATGCCGTTTTTTTCCCGATCATCAGGATGCATCAGGATCTGATTGTAGCCGGAGAACGCGTCCATAAATGTTAACAGTCTATTCCCTGCAGTGGCTTCGACGAGCCGGTCGATGTGTGGCAGGGGAAAGCTGTCTTTTGGGCACGCCTTGTTGAGATCGGTGAAGTCCACACAGACTCGCCACTTGCCGTTCTTCTTCTTTACAACCACCGGGTTTGCGAGCCAGTCCGGATATTTGGCCTCGGCGATTGATCCTACTTTGAGTAATCTTTCGACTTCGCCGTTGACTGCTTTAGCTCGTTCTGGACCAAGCTTTCTTCTCTTCTGCTTGACTGGTTTAAAGGTGGGATCCACGTTCAGCTCGTGACAGGTTACATCGATGCTGATGCCTGGCATATCTTCCGCCGTCCAGGCAAAGGTATCGATGTTTTCCTTGAGGAGGGAAAGGAGCTTGCTTCTCAGGGGCTCTCCTAGTTGTGTTCCAATTTCGACGCACCGTTCCTGATGCGCCTCGTCTATGCACACCGAGTCCACTGCGTCACATATCGGCTCGGTGCGTGTTTTGCGGCTCTCCGCGATCTGTAATTGCTATAAGAGTTTGGAAAGCTCGTTCGCGGGCTCTCTGTCTGTCTTCATCTTTTTGCGGTCTAAGTCAGCTCGTGCGTCGGTGACGGGGTTCCTCAGTTTGTGCTCGGTTAGGCAGCAATTTCTCGATTCCTTCTGATTTCCCCATATCGTTTTGACACCCGATGGAGTTGGGAATTTGAGACAGAGATGATAGGTGGAGGGTACCGCCCTCATCCCGTTGATCCATGGGGTTCCCATGATTACGTTATAGATTGCTGGGTGATCAGTGACGCAAAATTCGATGATCTTGGTGACTCCGCCAGCTACCACGGGAAGCCTGATCGTTCCCATAGTCATCATCGTTTCTCCTGAAAATCCGGTTAGAGGTTTGGGGATTGCTTCCACCTCGGAGAGGTCGATTCCCATTCTCCTGAGTGTTTCCTTGAAGACGACATTCACCGAGCTTCCAGTATCGATGAGCACCCTCGCTACGTCATGATCCCTGATCGTTAGCTCAATCACCTACGGATCATTGTGAGGTCGATCGATTCCTGCCGTTTCCTCCTCGGCGAAAGAGATCACTGTGTTTGGGATGTCAGTTGGCTCTATCCAATTCTCCTTTGCTTCGGCTCGACGCTGATAGGCTTTGATGGAGGAGACGGTATCTTGGTAGTACTGGGATCCACCCATGATCATATTGATCCTTTGCCTCAGCTCGGGTCGCTCTTCAGGTTCGCCTCGCCTGTCGCGCTTGGAGTTATCGCCTCGTCGGGGAGGATTCGCTGGTTCCGCCGCGCCGTTCGGCTCGGCTTTTTCTTGTTGTTCGTTAGGGACGAGGTCTTTGAGGCTGACCGCGTTTTGGAGCTCTCCTGCTGCCATTTTTGCTGCGAGCTTTGCTCCCAGAGTTCGGCATTGAGCCGTTGAGTGTCCGTAGGTCTGGTGATATTCGCAGAAAGCCTTCTCGTCGTAGTTGGCGGACTTTCTCACCCAAGTGTTGTTGCGCGGCTCTCCTCTTCCGCGTCCGGAGCTGACCTGGTAGTTATGGGCACCTCCGCTCCTAGGTTCTTCCGAACTCTGCGTTGTTGCATTGCTCGATGGATTGCCCTTCTTCGCGGGGCGCGGCAGAATTGAGCTTCGAATCGCTGCTTTCGTGGCTTCGTACTGCTCGTCCAAGTTTTTTATTTCCTCCTCGTTTACAACGAAGTCTGATGATCGGTGCAACGCGTCTTGAATCGTTTGCGGCGTATTGAGAGCCATCTCCCTGCGGAACTTGGATTTGTACCACAAAGATCGTTTCAGAGCCTCGAGTGCAGCCTTGTCGCTTATCCCTTCTATTTTGGATACGACTGCCTTGAATCGTGCCATATAATCCCGAAGCGGTTCGTTCGGTCCTTGAGATAGCGTCCACAGATCGGCATCAGATGTTCCTCTGTCCATAAACATCGAGTATTGTTTGAGGAACAAGGCGGAGAGCTGTTGGAAATTGCCGATCGAATTTCGTTCCTGCCTTGAGAACCACTCGAGTGCGGCTCCCTTGAGATGCTCCACGAAGAGCAGGCAGTATCCGGCGTCTACTTCGCGCTCGGTGAGTTCAGCGGCGTTCTTTGTGAAGGCTGGTCCCATTGCTATCCGAAACGCTGTGATGTGTGCTTTGGGGTCGGTTGTTCCTTCGTAGAACGGGATTCGCACCTTCCCCGGCTCGGGAATTCTGGCTTCCGTGATTCTTGCAGTGAACGGGGTTCTTTGAGTTTCTTCAAGCATTTGGTCGATTTCAGGTGCGGCACTTGTCGCGTTGTGCACTTGAGATTTCATGGCTCGTATTTCAGCCATTGTCCGAGCCATAGAGGCTCGCAGCTCTTTGAGCTCGAGATTTTGTGCGTGAGTCATTCCTTTTGATTTTGGGGGTCGCTCCCGCTCCCCTCGCCTCGGCTCGTCTTCGCGTTCTTCCTGCTCGTTCCATTGGGGATTTTCTTCCACCTCGGTTGGGTTATCGACGCGGGTCGGATCGGAGACTTCATCAGTCCGGATGCCGTTTAGTGCCGAGGCGAGTTCTTCTTGACTAATTCGGCGAGCCGAGCCAGTTTGTTGCGGATTTATGGTCTCGTCGTCTTGCTGGGCGTCTGCATAGATCGCATCGTCCCCTTCCTCACCGGCTCGTTGCCTGGAGTTCCGGCGTAGTGGAGGCGGCTCGGTGATGTTGATTTGGGTTGCTGCGGGAGTGCGTTCGTCAAGGGGACGAAGAAACGAGGAATTTCTTGCACCACTCCCCGAGGCTTCTGCGGGTGTCGAGAAATCGAAGCGTCTCGGAATTTCATCCATCGGGTCGGGAATTCCGGTTCTCCAAGTCGAGTGTTGTCGCTCAGCCGCCATCGCGTCGAGCCTCGCCGTAATCGCCTCGTTTCTTTTGTCTTGGTCATCAATTTTTTTCATCAACGCAGCTATCATGTATCGCATCTCCTCGTGGGTTTCAGTCGCCGCCGTCGTTGTGCCTGATGCTGGAGCGTCCTTCTCCGCGCCGTTACCGGTGTTGTTGTTGTTGTCGTCGGGGGTGTTGCTCGCCATGTTCTTCAGATCTTAAAGTCTCGTCGATTTAGAGTAAGAAAGTTTCCATGTCCCCACAGACGGCGCCAAATTGTGTGAGCCAAAACTCGCACAACCAAAGATTTGTAAGGAAAACTAAGGGATTGGAAACTTCTAGGGTTTATCGCCAAAAACAGTAAGATCAAAAGAAAGCTTTTCTTACTGTAAAAGTGTTTAGCTCTTATTGCTTAGGGTTGCAAAAGTTGGCGGAATGAATTACATACATCATATATTTATACTGACTTTCTAAACCGCCTAGCCGAAAATCTCGGGCGAGATTTTCGAAATATTTCCTTATCGCCTCGTGCGGCTGACCGCCTTTGCATCTCGCCTAGGGTTTTCCGTGGGCTTCACCTCTCAAGGCTTCGGTTCGGCCCATCATGCTTCTTTACGGCTCAGCCCATATTGCCTTCGTTACGGCTCGGCCCGCCTAATTTCTCCATGGCTCGGCCCGCTTGACATGATTCGCTCCACCTCACCGCGGCACGGCTCGGCCCAAGTGTTAAAGACAGGGGCTCGGTCCATTTTATGTTATACGGCTCGGCCCATCTCCTTCTTCTCGGCTCTCCCACTTGGCGATCGCGGCTCTCCCGCCTTTCTTGGTGGAAACGGCTCTCCTTCTTGCCTTGGTGAGAACGGCTCTCCCATTTGATGGCCACGGCTCTCCCATTTTCTATACTTAGTTATATTGGGATGGTTTTATCTGTGTGGGGTGGAAACCGACCCCAACAGACGGCATCCGAGAAGACAAGATCCTTTGCTATGCAACAGGCCGCGAGAACGAGAGCCGAGAGAAGTTAACCATGACATAAAACTAACGCCACCAACTTTTGCAGGAAAATCTAATCCCGAAGTCTATTTGGACTGGGAGCGGCGCTTAGAATATATCTTTGACTGCTATGGCTATAGTGAGAACAAGAAAGTGGCCTTAACCGCGGCTCAACTCACCGATAATGCTTTAGCATGGTGGGATCGCACCGTAGCTGAGAGGAGACGCCAAGTTTTTGGACCGATACAAACTTGGCACGACATGAAGTACCTCTTACGACTCAGGTATGTTCCTGAGCATTATCACCGTGACTTACATAAGCGTTTTCGTAAGTTAACTCAGGGAACAAGGAGCTTGGAAGAGTACTTTGAGGAATTTGAAAAACTGATGAACTCCCTAGAGCTTGAAGAGACCGAAGAGGCCTTAATGGCTCAGTTTGTTGACGGTCTACAAGAGAGGATAACCCGTAAAGTGGAGAGGGTCAAGTATAGTGGCCTCCATGAATTATTACATCTTTCAGTTCAGGTGGAACAGCAAATCAAACCCAAAGCCTCGCTAACAAACAGCAACCGAGGGAACCAGCCGTGGCAAACTAGCTCTAGTAGAACCATTGACAAGGGCAAGGCCGTTGAAGCTGATTCTCGTCTCAAATCAAAACCCACCGAGGCACCAAAGACCAACCGACCGGAACCAGGTAAGTTTCAAAACACTAGTCAAGCTAGAACACGCGATATAACCTGTTTCAAGTGTCAGGGACGAGGGTACTATGCACGAGACTGCCTAAATCAAAGGGTAATGATCATCACTCCGAGTGGCGGATATGAATCTCAAGACGAGCCCGAAGAAGAGCCAGAGGACAACGAAGAGGATGTGGAATATCCTGATACTGGTGAATATCTCTTAGTGACTAGTAGTGTCCTGAGCGTTTAACAACAAAGTATGTAATCTTGTTATTGATGAAGGTTCATGCACTAACGTGGCAAGCAAGTTCATGGTAAACAGATTAGGGCTGGAAAGGATCAAGCACCCGAGGCCATACAAATTGCAGTGGCTTGACGATGCCACCGAGCTTAAAGTCACCGAGCAAGTCACGGTTCCTTTTAGTGTGGGCAAGTACAAAGACGAGGATCTTTGTGATTTTGTGCCGATGCAAGCAGGACATCTTTTACTAGGCAGACCGTGGCAGTTTGACAAGGCCACAATGCAAAATGGCCGCACCAACTTTTACAGCTTTACACACTTTGGTTGCAAATACAATCTAGCACCACTCAGCCCCACCGAGGTCCATGAGCTCCAGAGCCGAATGCAACAAGAGGCTAAGTCTTATAAATCAGCATTATATATATCTACTGGTGAATTAAACCGAGTTTGGAGTGCCAATGGCACTATGTTATTAATACTTTTCAAAGAATGTCTTAGTGCAGGTTTAAAGGAACTTGAGCTTCCACCCAAGGTAGAGGCCTTGATCAAGCGGTTCGAAGATGTGTTTCCCGAAGAGATCCCACCAGGGCTACCACCTCTACGGGGAATAGAACATCAGATAGATCTAGTCCCAGGCCAGTCGTTACCAAATAAGGCCGCTTACCGAATGAATCCGGAAGAAAGCAAAGAGCTCGAGAGACAAGTGCGAGACTTGATGGACAAGGGCAATATTAGAGAGAGTCTCAGCCCCTGTGCCGTGCCTGTGCTTCTAGTGCCCAAGAAGGATGGCGCATGGCGTATGTGTGTGGATTGCAGGACCATAAACAACATTACTATCAAGTATAGGCACCCCATTCCGCGTTTAGACGACATGTTGGATTAACTTAGTGGCTCCACTATCTTCTCCAAAGTGGATTTGAAAAGTGGTTATCATCAGGTCAGAATGCGTGAGGGAGATGAATGGAAAACGGCCTTCAAGTGGCTAGTCATGCCTTTTGGCTTAACTAACGCTCCTAGCACCTTCATGCGGTTAATGAACCAGGTTCTTCAAGAATATATAAGTAAATTTGTGGTAGTTTATTTTGACGACATACTTATATATAGTAAGAACCTACATGACCATCTCACACACCTTGAACTAGTGCTCAAATCACTTCGCAAGGAAGGCCTTTATGCTAACCTCAAGAAGTGCTCATTCTGTACTAATCAACTCGTGTTTTTAGGCTTTGTTGTGAGTGAACAGGGCTTAGAGGTGGATGAAGAGAAAATCAAAGCTATACAAGAATGGCCTACCCCTTCCACATCGGTCATGTTCGAAGCTTTCACGGGTTAGCCAGTTTCTACCGACGATTTGTAAAAGATTTCAGCACCGTCACCACTTACGGCTGTCATCAAGAAAAACGTTCCATTTAAGTGGGGAGAAGCTCAAGATGAGGCGTTTCAAGCCTTGAAGGAAAAGCTCACTCAAGCACCTGTTCTTGTGTTACCCAACTTTGGCGAGATGTTTGAGGTGGAATGCGATGCCTCCGGATTGGGGATCGGAGCTGTATTGCACCAGAAGAAGAGGCCGGTGGCATATTTCAGTGAGAAACTCCATGGAGCCACCCTCAATTACCCTACCTATGATAAGGAGCTGTACGCACTGATAGAGCATTGGAAACGTGGCAACATTACTTGTTGTCCAAGGAGTTCATCATTCACACTGATCACGAGACCCTTAAACATTTGCGTGACCAAACCTCACTCAAAAGAAGGCATGCTAAGTGGCTTGAGTTCATAGAGACTTTCCCCTATGTAATCAAGTCCAAAAAAGGCAAAGAAAACGTTGTAGCTGACACTTTATCAAGGCGCCACACACTTATATCGACCATGGAGGCGAAAGTTTTGGGCTTCGAGCACATCAAAGCACTATACAAAGATGATCCTGAGCTTGGTGAAACATATAACGATTGCTGCAAAGGCCCTACAGGTTCTTTCTATATACACGATGAGTTTCTTTTTAAAGATAAACGTTTGTGTATCCCACAGGGGTCAGTGAGGGAGATAGTGCTTAGTGAAGCCCACGGTGGAGGATTAATGGGACACTTTGGGGTGGATAAAACTCTGGCTGTCATGATGGACCATTTCTATTGGCCACACATGAAAAGGGATGTGGAACGATTCTATTAGAGATGTATCCTGTGCCACAAAGCCAAATCCAGGTCACACCCTCACGGTCTATATATGACTCTGCCTATACCTAACACCCCTTGGGTAGATATCTCGATGGATTTTGTCTTAGGTTTTCCCAAGATCAGGCACAAGGACTCCATCTTTGTTGCTGTTGACCGGTTCTCTAAGATGGCCCACTTTATACCGTGTGAAAAGACAAACGACGCCACACAGATAGCCAATTTGTTCTTCAAGGAGGTCGTATGTCTACATGGGATCCCGAGAACAATCATTTCGGACCGAGACACCAATTTTCTCAGCCATTTTTGGCGTACTTTGTGGAAAAAGTTAGGCACCAAGCTCCTTTTCTCCACAACCTGCCACCCACAAACCGATGGTCAAACAGAAGTGGTAAACCGAACCTTGTCCACATTACTTAGGGCTGCACTTGGTAAAAACATAAGCACATGGCTCGATTGCATTCCTTTTGTAGAATTTGCTTATAACCGCGTAAGACACTCGGCTACAAAGCTATCTCCTTTTGAGGTAGTTTATGGTACTAACCCTCTTTCTCCAGTGGATCTTAGACCTATAGCACAGGTAGACCAAGCCAATCTAGATGGACTGAGACGAGGAGAGCTGTTTAAAAAGTTATATGAGACGGCGAAGTCCAATATAGAAAAGAAGACCGAGGTCTACAAGAAGGCCGCATACAAGGGACGAAAGGACATCTCATTTGAGCCAGGAGATTAGGTCTGGTTACACATGAGGACAGAAAGATTCCCTGGTCGGCGTGCATCCAAACTCTCACCACGAGGCGACGGCCCATTCAAAGTCTTGAGCAAGATCAACGATAATGCTTACCGTTTGGATCTTCCAGGTGAGTATAACATTTCACACACTTTCAATGTGGCTGATTTATCTTATTTTGATGCAGGTGAAGAAGTTTTGGGGTCAAAACCTTTAGAAGAGGGAGGGAATGATGTGGACATCGACCCAAAGACCTTACCAGAGCTAATGCCATCAGTCCAAGACGGGGCCATGACATGCTCCAAGATTAAACAACTCAGAAATATATATATATAAAAGAGGGCTTTACACATCTTTATTAACTCACTAGAACCATACGACCCGTTGTTGCCCGACCTGAATGTCATATACGGCTTAAACGAGCTTTGCGGCCAAACCGGGGCTGAATACTTGGGATCCAGGAATGACCCACCAGACGATCAAGTCTCTCAGGCCAAAATGGGTATCTCTCGACCAATTTTTGATTTAAATGCTAATAGTCCGAGCATAATTTCATTTTCAGGCTTAAAACTTGAAGAACTAAGGGATGATTCAAAAATAGCCGATACGCGAGAAACTTTGGCCGAGACACGAGAGATTTTAGCCGAGAAATCAGTACCACCTCGGCCAGACCAAGTTGGCGATAGAATTTGTCGTACTGAAGCTGACATCGCTCGACCAAAATCACCAGCTGAATCCAACCCCTCGAGACAGAAACAAGTTTGCCTGATCGGATAACGAGATTGCCGAGACCATGCAAGATTTAGCCGATGATTTAAAGACACCCGGACTAGAACCACCAGACGACTTGGAAACCTCCAACTAAGGTAAGATCTCTCGTCCAAATCCATATTCTGAAGCTAACGAACGTGGAATCTTGCCCCACCAACGAGCAGATTTGGAGCTGCTTCACAACACACCACCCGGACCCGAGAAAGGCCAAGAAGACCAAGAAAGTAGGACGGAGCAAAAAAAAGCTTGGGGACTTGAAGACAAGGATTTAGACACATTGGAGAAGCACTTAGAAGACTTTACAAGAAGGTTCCAAGCCAGAGACACCACAGCTTCAAGCTCGGCCACCACAACCACACAAGCGGCCAACCGGAACCCTTCACACCAAGGTAAGCTTTTCAATTATTATATTGTCCTTGCAGGTGATCTCAGCCTCCACAACGGCTAAGTACTACATCAAAACGACGTCAGTAGTTTAGTTTAAAGAGTCTTAAGCAAACTTTCCATTTTTGTATTAAATGAAACGATGAGTTTATGATTTCGTAGACTAGGTTTGTTTCTTGTTATTTTCTTTCAAAGTCCTGTCGTTTTGAGTCGAACCCTAAAAGGTTCAAGCTGACGGACTATTTATAAAGTCCCACACGCAGCTTTGTAGTCACCAACCTTTTTCCCATTATCAATAAAAGAACGAACTTTCTTCAAAGTTTATGAGAAGCGGCTTCTCATCCTGTTCATTGATTTCTTGTGAGATTCAAGCAAGCGTGAACCCCTGCACCGTATCAGAGGGTAACCTCCCCTCTGTGTCGTGTATTCACTCCGCCAACACACCATCTCTTGATCCCACACGAGAGGGCGACCGCCTGCGTGTCAGATCCCCATCTATCGATCATTCACCGAGCCAAAGAGAAGGCGACCACCTGCTTTGTCTCTCCACCACCTAGTCTCCCGTAAGAACCCCTTAATTCTTACATCACTAACGTTCAGTCAAAGTCAGCTTTAGTGCCTTCACTCTTCAGTTATCATAGCAATCACAAGAGCCAAAATCACGTATCGTTCAATCGCATTTTCTTTACTGTTTGAATTTCTGGTCGCGAAGCAAGCCGTTGGAGCACACAAGATCAGAGTATCAGGAGACCAAAAAAAAAGTAGAAGGGTATAAGTTTTCAGCTAAAGAGAATATTTTTTCTTTGTCGACATCTTAAATACTTAGAACGATTGATAGATTAAATCGATGGTACCGAATTTACATAAACAACATTGTGAGAATAGACTCGAGCATTTTGCTAGATTGTCTACTTTGTATTCTTCGCGCATGGGATATATGTTAGTGAAAATAAAAACTAGACAATCTCAATTAGAAATAGAAAAATACATAACTATTAATTATTGACACACGTGTTTTGAAGTTCTGACTAGTAGATTTATGTAAATCTTCGTTAGGGTATCATCTCAAATATGAAATCGAGAAAAGAGAAAGATACTTGTGAAAACAGAATGAAGTACTTTTTGGTTTTTTCATATGAAAACATGGACTTAAAAATATATTCTTTTTATAAAAAAAGAGTGCAACTTTAAGTTAGTATATCTAATCTTTTGTTTTAGTCAATAAATAAAACCACAACTAGCAAAAAGGCGTGACCAGAAAAAACAAAATTGGATTCCTAATAAACCTCAGCTCTCTCGTTCCATTACATCGCATTATCGCACCGCACAAAAGCTTAAGAAACTATTCTATCTTTTTGAATAGTGCATCTTAAATGCGCGCCTAATTAACAGTTAAAATTGAGCTTTTAACGGGCCTATTTGTGATGGATCAAAAAATTCTATTTTTCAACGATACAAAATCTTACCGAAAATTGGTTTTATACAATTTACGAAATGAAAACAGAGTTAACATAATCATTCGTTATAGATGGTAATAACACATAATTAATTAGAGGACGAACACGTTAGTCACTAACACCTAATTAACCGCAAGACAAGAGGAAAGATTCAAGGCTTTAAGCTGTACATGAACTGAACTGAACTGAACTGGTCAGGTCAACTGACTAAATTACATCTCTTCTTGGTTGAGAAATTCTCAAATGCGATTGTTGTTGTCGTCGAGAACGAAGCCGTTATTAAGACCAGAACACATCGTCGGAGATTGATCATCGCCTGTGTTTGTGTTTCTTGTGGTATACTGATTTGGTTATAATCCTCTGTTTATCCCGTTTTGATCGGAACCATATACAAATTCTGATGAAGATCCGCCACGTTCCTACGTCTATAGAATGATCGCTAGGGTTTTCTTCTTGATCGAAACTAGAAGAAACAAGTTGTAGATTTACCTTCGTCTCAAGACAAGCCATCAAATCCTTCTTAATAAGATCCTCGATGATATTCAACTCAGAGATATCATCACGAGAATTTTAAAGATGATGGTCTTCTCTTCCCACCAACACCCTAACTTGGACTGGAGGTTATTAGAGGAAGCTTGCCGTTGAGGTAACAATGTGCAATTTCAGAGGCAAGAGAAAGGCCGGAGAAGGAGAAAATAGCGTTGGATTTATCCGCTAGAGAGGTTACCAAGACGGCGATGTTTGCACCGGAGAGAAGGCAGAGATCGGCGAAAAGAGCGTTTACGTTTAGAGAAAGCCACAACTCAAGTCGTTGCTGTTTTGTGTAGCGTTTCTTTATTTCAATCTTTCTCTTTGTCCCTTTCTCCATTTATTAAACTATGAGAGTAAGAAACAAACAAACAAATAGAAAAGAAACATCCAAAACAAACAAAAAAATTAGAGGAGATCATCACTCATCACTCATCAGTCTATTAAGAAAGAAGTTCGAGTAACAAGAATTCTCATTAATAAATCAAATGATGTTCTGGTTACAATATATATACAGCTGTGGTTAAGTGTAAGGAGGCTTAACCAACAATCAAATTCTAATAAACCAGTATAAACGAACTATATATCTCCAATACAGTCTCTCTCTTCTTCTCCACCTTCTTCAATCTCATTAACTCTTCTCCTTCTCTTTCTCTCTCCCCCGATGGCATCTCCTTACTCTCTCTCAAATCCGCCGTTGATCAATCTTCCACCGCCTCCTCCTCCTCCGCTTTCTCCG